ACTGGAAGTGGGGGGAAAACTGGTGTTCTCTGCATCTGAAGCAATACGTACTAGTCATTGTAGATATATCGATCATCTTTATTTGATATGGGAGAAAGCAAGGACCACTGGTCCTTGCTCAGTCCCCACTATTCCGTTTCTAATCAGAATCCCCAGGTTGCCCATGCTATTGGCCACTTGAACTTGGAAAGAGGATGGAGCAAGTGGCCCACTCTGCCCAGAGACAGAGGACCTGTGCTGCAGCTCCTCTCGTGGCCGCTGTGCCGTTTTCCCAGGCCCGCACTGGTCTCCCCTTGGTCCCCTTGCCCTGTGCCAGCCCAGGGCAGGCTTCATGATGACGGGTGGTGGCTGAGGAGGTGGGAGGGGTTACGTGACCTTTATTCTGTGAACTGATCCCATGTGGGTTTTCTCTTTAAGTGCTTAAAAAATGACTGCTTTTAGTCATCCCTCCAATTTCATTTTAAAGGTGAAAATGAAGATTTTATTCTTGAAGTTGAGTGCAGTGATTTTAGTCTTTTTGAAAGCAACAATTGAGATTTGAGAAAGACATCTCAGAGAACTCCAGTGTATAAAGCCGAGAAAAGAGAGTGTGTTCAGGTTGAATTGTGGGCGGGACCCCAAATTGTGCCTCTGTGTCTCCCGGAGTCTGCTAATTCCTGAGATGGGTGGGTACAGGACTCCAAACACCCGAAGGACTAAGGTCCTAACATCACAACTTAGTCTGCCTGAGATGGGTGGATATAGGACTCCAAACACCTGAAGGACTAAGGTCCTAAAATCACAACTTAGTCTGCCTGTGTCAGGAGTGTTGGTTGTCACAGCAGAGGTTTGGGTGGAGCCAGGAGCAGTGTAGCCTGTGCAGGGGGATCAGAGAGCAAGGAGGGTGAGGGGGTGGGGGATGGCGTGGGGACACAGGAAGGGGCGACACCTGGCGGGGTCTGAGGGGCCGTGGCTGTCGCACTCAGGGCAGGGATGCTCCTGAACATCTACGCGGCACCCACGGCACAGCCGCGGTTGAGAGGCTCTGGTGTGAGGAACCCCCAGCCTGTCTCAAGAACCGCTGAGTTCACAGCAGGGTCCAGCACTCCACTGTGAGTTCATTTCAGTGCCCTTAACAAGGTTGGAGCCAGCACTTCCTGAGCTTGAGTGAGTCAGTTAGGCAGAACTGACCTCAGAATCAGTGAGGTAGAATTAGCTCAGTGACTCCTCACCCGGGGTAGATTCTAGGGATGCCCTTGAGTTTAGGTGGGGCCCTTCCAATAGCCTCACTGGTGTCGTTTTTAGTAGGAGGAGGTGGCAAACCCCTCTTAGTCCTAGTGCATTTGTTTTCTGAAACAGTTAATACTCTTCAGTAGCTTCGTGTTGTTAATTTGCTAAAAATTTTGTTCCGTTTTTAAAAAATTAACTTGTTTTATCTGTATGGCTGAGTCGGGTCTTAGTTGTGGCACGTGGGATCTTGAGGCATGCGGGCTTTTTCGTTGAGGTGTGCGGGCTTCTCTCTAGCTGCCGCATGCGGGTTTTCTCTTCTCTAGTTGCGGCGTGCGAGTGCAGTAGTTGTGGCGCGCGGGATTAGTTTCCCCACAGCATGTGGGATCTTAGCTCCCGGACCAGGTATCCAACCCGTGCCCCCTGCATCGTCAGGCGGATGTTTACCACGGGACCAGCAGGGAAGTCCCTCTTCGGTGCTACTTTCAAACAGTATCCTTTCCAAGCAGCGTTTGCGCGCTCTCCCCCACACACTCATCCTGTCGTCGTCTTGGAAGTCGTCGTCCCACCGCACCCCTTCTCTGCCCCGTTGATGGTGGCCTGAGCCGAGCCCTTCCGTTTCCATGGAGCCCCTTGTGACTGGGTCGGTTCCGGGCTCCCGGGAGACAGTGGCAGAGGCGGAGCCATGGCGCCATTTCCTCTGGAGATGGCAGTGATGGCGGCGGTCGCGGTGACGGGAGGTGGTGAGGTGCCCGGCAGTGAAGCAGCAGCCACTGCCGTGCGCGAGGTGCTGCACCCGTCCCCGAGGGTGGGCGGTGGAAGGGGCCACCTGTGGTCGCATTTCCGGCGCCGCGACCGCAGGGCCAAGGCCATGGCGAGGAAGAACTTGGCCTCGGCTCAAGTCACGGAAGTGGGGCGAGCGCCCCCGGCCCCTGGAGCACAGCGAAGAGTGCAGGGAGGTGAGGGCGGCGGGGTTTGTTCGTCTTGTAAGTACGGCTGCGAGCCCAGGGCGTTGTGGCCTCAGTGGGGAAGGATTGACACCATCTGGTCGGACGTGGCAGCAGGTCCTGCTGGCGCTGCGTGGAGGACAGGTGGGGGCGGGGCAAGAGGGATTGGTGGAAACCACTGATGGAGGAGTCGCTCGGCGTACATGGGTTGAGCTCTTGGGGCAAAAATTTTAACCCCCTCAACGTCACCCATCTTACGAAGCCCGGAGCAATGTATATAATACTTTAATTAAGTGTACATACTGCTTATGTGTATAATGTATGTACCCTAACATCTTCAGATATTTACTGAGCGCCTGTTCTGTGTCAGGCACTGTTCTACTCACTATGTAGGAAGGGTTACGTGGCCCAAGATCTCTTTGTGCAGAGAGAAACAGAATGAAAGACTCGGTGAGTTCAGTTTGAGAAAGTTCAGTGCGTGGATAGAACTGCTGCAGAAGCAGTGGCCGATGCTGGGTGTGTCAGCATGGGAGGACTGGGCGTGGCAGCTTTCCTTGCGTTTCCATGACCCTCTGCCCTCCCCACTCTACTGTTCGGCTCACACACCCTCGCCTGGCACACCTCCTTTTGGGTGGACTTTGAATTCAACACGGGCCCAAACTATCTTTTCCTCACCATCTATTGGTCCTCCTGAGGTTGGTACAGTTTTGTACCTGGTCAGGTGGTCAGAAACCGAGGAGACAGCTTTGCCTCACCCTCCTAGTCTCCAGGCCCTGTAGGAGGCACCTTTCTTGTGTCTTGGAGGCCGAGTTTGAGGCCCACTGGTGAGATCTGGACCCTCTTCCATCAGGTTGACTCAAGGAGGGGTTGACCCCAGCGGCCTCTCTGTGTCCCGCCCCAGCCATGCTGGGTTCCTCACCCAGGATGTTGTTTTCCTGTAGCTTCTTTGTAAATATGCTGTTCTCACTGAGAAGAAGGCCTTTCTTCTACCCTGTCTTCTGCTGGCTAGCTCTTAGCGCTAGTTACTGCTGAGTAATTCGGTAACTAGCTCTTGGAGAACCAATTTTGCCCTGTGTATACAGATCCTCAAAAGTGCTCATATTCTGACAGGAGCCCTTTTATTTCTGCTAAGGAAATGGTTCTTATCTGGAGGAAACTTACGCGTAACAATGTTGACCGTAACAACTTTCAATGTGATTTACATTTTTTACTGGTTGGAAAATTATAAGAGCAATACGCCACTTAGAAACCACTTTAAAGTATGAGTACCTTGTAGTTCGCATTCCACAGGGATTTAATGTCTCTCACTTTGCCTCCCAGCCTTACCTCATTTCCCCGTTTTGCCCTCACTTTCGGAGGGAATGATTTCTGGTGGTCCCATTCTTGTGGTGGGTGGTGGACTCACTGGGCTGAGGCAGTGATTTCTGACCCCTCTGACTCTCTCCTGAGCGGCCATGAGTGTGTGAGGCCACTGCGTGCAGAAGGCAGTTTTGACCTTGGCGATTTCCCGGAGGTGCTTTATTTCGTCCCTCACCAAACAAGGCTGTTTTAAGGATTCTTTCTGGTTGTTCCCTAAGCCACGAGGAAGACCTGGCTAAAGTGATCGAGCTCCAGGAAATCTTAGATGAGCAGTCAAGAGCAGAGCCAGGGACTTCACTGGTGGTCCAGTGGGTTGGACTCTGCGTTTCCAGTGCAGGGGCCCGGGTTTGATCCCTGGTCAGGGAACTAGATCCCACATGCATGCCATGACGAAGAGCCCACAAGCGGCTTAATCCAGACTCAATCTTCAGTTTACACACTGGGAAATTCCTCCACCAATGTGTATATAAGCTGATGCCCTTTAAAATACGCTTGTTTCTGCATGTAAATCTGCTCGCTGAGTCCATCTGACAGTTAATGGCTGGTGACACTCCTGAGGCTCCCTGGGTCCTTTGTTGAACAGAAGCAGTGGGGAGGGACCTTCTAATGAACAATGTCCCTGCCCTTCTCTGTACCTGTGAGTCAGCTCTGGTGATGGTGCAGGAGTCCACTAGGAGATAGCAGTGGGAGGCGACAGCCTACGGAGCCAGGGCACAGGCCACGCCCGTCGTCACTCCTTGGTGCTTTTAAAACACTGACCATACTTGTTCTTGAAGTCTGTAAGTTTTTGTTTTTCCTATTTTAGGCAAAAAAGCAGTTACAAGAAGTGCAACATAATCAGATACTTAAATCTCTTAATCGTTTAGGAATCTGTAAAGAGGTGAATTGAGCTGGGTTCATAGTTATAATTACTACAGATGTTTAGCCAGAGTCTACGCCAGTCCACTGCTGTAGTGTGTACAGCACCCCTGGACTTGGAGGCTGAATGTTTGCACTTTAGATGCATTCAGAGTCTGGCAGTTGTGTGTGGTTCGGAATGCTGAGTCCTTTCTGGGTTCACGTGAAAGCTGACAGCCTAGGGAGCCAGGGCACAGGCCACTCAACGTCATCGCTCCTTGGTGCTTTTAAAATAATGGCCATACTTGTTCTTGAAGTTTAGAACTTTTCGTTTTTCCTATTTTAGGCAAGGTGGAGAGAAAAAATGAATGGAAAATGTAATAAAATCAGACATTGTTGACAAGCTTCTTTCAGAATCTAACAAGAGGCTTCAGCTTCATCATAAATGGCTGCTCGGGCAGAGAAGGTGCCCAGCACAGCGTCCCCGAAGGCCCCTTTACAAAGAGAGTGCCACTGGTCATGTCCATGCCGCAGCAAAGATCCCCCGTGCTGCAACTGAGACCTGGCACAGCCAAATAAATATTTAAAAAAAAAATATATATATATATATATATATATATATATATATCTCCACTGTAGCGTTAGGATTTACGTTCAGGAAGGTATCTTGGACTTCCCTGGATCTTGAGAAGGTGCGTTCCCTTCTCGCATGCCGGGGTCAGGGGCGGAGGGGTGAAAGCTGGTCTGAGTTACGGTGGTCCGGGGGCGTCTTGGGTGGACCTCCTTTCTCTGGCGGGTCTTCCCACAACGGCGCGAGGTGCCTTTGTGTGAGGACTGGACAGTCTTGAGGGTCTGTTTTCTGTTTCTATTTATTTAACTGTTTTCCAGGATTTTGTAGCAGTTAAGAACTAAAGAACTAAACATATGCAGAGAGCAGCTCCTTGAAAGAGAAAAAGAAATCGCTGAACTGAAAGCGGAAAGGAACACCACCAGGGTTAGTGGGGTTCTTACTGGGTTAACATTTGCTTCCGGTCATGATTGGGCTCTGGGTTATTGTCTTTAAACTCAAAAGATGATCCACTCTGCCTGCTTTTAAACAGATTTTCGACATCTTCTCACTAAGCGGACTGGGGTTGACCAGTTCAGGGTGCTCATACCTTGCTTGAAGTTTATGGTGAGAGTTCATGTAATTTTAGCCCATTGGAGGGGGAGTTTCTCTAACTTGTTTGGCTGGCCACACTGCAGCGTGTGGAATCTAGTAACCAGACCCCCTGCATTGGGAGCGCCAAGTGTTATCCAGTGGAGAGCCAGGAAAGGCCCTTAGCTAATGATTCTTAAAAGAGCAGAAAAACCGGAAGGAGACATTGACAGGACAGACGGGGGTGCTTGACATAAACCCCGAGCATGAATGGAAAGGCAAGTCCTTGTCTCCCTCTCTGTCTGGTTCTCATCTCACCTGTCCAGTCTGTGCAGGTCTGTTGCCAACACACCGCTTAGACCTGAGCGGCCGTGACAGTCGTGTGAGCCCACAGCGTGCAGAAGGCAGTTTTGATCTTAGCGATTTCCCAGAAGTGCTTATTTCGTCCCTCAGCAAACAAGGCCGTTTAAGGATTCTTTCCATTAGAGGTCTTCTGATGGTTCTCATGAGGAAGACCCGGCCAAAGTGCCCGAGCTCCGGGAAATCTCAGACGAGCAGCTGAGAGCAGAGCCAGATGAAGGAGCTGGACGCCCGGCCGCCTTCGGTACTCACGTGACAGAGCGGGAGGAAGGTCTGTACACGGCCGGAGAAGACCTCATCGTATCTGAGGAAGTGAACACGAAATTGCAATGAGATGTTTGTGAGGTGAGTGACATTACATGTGTGTTGGAACCAGACATAATCGAAGACAAATATGGTGAATTGGCTCCGTGTGCACCTTCTGTGTGGTTCTCAGTGGGTCCTCACACGACCCAGAGAACAGGGAGGGCAACGATCGTCTGCCTTGAGTAACTCAGCCTCCCCTGGATGTCCAGGCCTTACTGCCTCTGGAGCATTTTTGTGTGTGTGTTTGTTGTCTGGTCGGAAAGTTTGCCTTTACACTTTGCTTCACTCTCCCTGCAAATACTCCTCCACCTGTTACAGAAACACCTAACTTGGCCGTGTTGATTTTCTCTCAATATTTCAACCACTCTGCTTCCTCCTAGCTGGTATGTCAGAGACAGAAAACTCATCTCCAGATGTCTTGGGCCTCAGCAAATTGGGAGGACAGGCTGAAAACAATGATAAGCTTCCAAAAAAGTAAGCTTTTTGTTTTTTGTCCATCTCACTGAACAGTTTTCAGTTGTTCCTGATTTTTAATTAATGTTTACTGATTAAATGGAATATCCAGCTCTCTCTATATATTATCTTCTGAAAGCTTAACCCAAAGCCTTTTATTAAACTGCTCTTTCTGGAGGACTTAGAGCATCTGAACTAGATTCTCAAGCTGGGGTTACATGAGGTCTCCCCACCTAAGGCCACTGTCCCCTTCTACATTGGGGCTTTATAGGAACTTGTGGGCCCAGGGAGGTGATTTCACTGCTGCAGCCCCAGGTTCAATCCCTGGTCAGGGAACTAAGATCCCACAAGACGATTGGCTTGGCCAAAGAAAAAAACAAAAGATAGGAGTTGTCTAGTGACATATTTTTGGATAACATTTTCCATTACCATTTTCATCCACATTTATTTCAGCATTTTTATTACCTGCACTTAATTTAGTTTAAATTTAATTTAACATATTAAGAAAAAGACTTATCACAATAATAGTTTAAAACTTCCTGGAGAATTAAAAATCATGACAAAAAGGAATATAGAAAAAAAGATATTGTTATGAAGCAAGAACATTTCACCAAACATCATAATCAGAAGAAAACACTGGATGCATTCCTTCTGAAGTTGCAGTGAAGGCTGCTGGCCAGGGCTCCTGCCTTTCACCACTGTACAGTGTGCCTACAGAGAGTGTGTCAGAGAGTTGGAACTATTAACAATCACAAATCTACAGCCATGGAAAGGCCAAGTGTGAAAGGGTGGAAAAAGACATTCCATCCTAAAGAGACCCGAGGTGACTACACAGTGTCAGACAATATAAAGACAAAAGCTGATAAAAGAGATGGACAATATATACTGTTAAAAGGATCAATTCACCAGAAGATATACATCTAACATTAGAACTCCCCCCCAAAATTAAGGAAACATTAATACCCCAGTTTTTTCGATGGGTGGAACCAAAGAGAACATCAGTAAGGAAACAGAGGACTTGAACAACACTATAGACATACTGGACCTAACAGACATGTACAAATCACTCTACCCAACAAAACCAGAAAACACACACTTCTCAAGAACATTCTCCATGAGAGACCACATGTTAGGATATAAAAGAAATCTTTTTTTTTTTTTTTGCGGTACGCAGGCCTCTCACTGTTGTGGCCTCTCCGGCCACGGAGCACAGGCTCCAGACGCGCAGGCTTAGCGGCCATGGCTCACAGGCCCAGCTGCTCCGCGGCATGTGGGATCTTCCCGGACTGGGGCACGAACCCGTGTCCCCTCAATGAAATTAGAAATAAACAGCAGAATGAAAACAGAAAAATCCCCAAAATGTGGAAATAAAACAACGTATTCATAAATAACCAATGGGTCAAAGAAGAAATCACAAAGGAATTTTTTAAATATCTGGATGAAAATGAAAACATACAAAAATTTATAAAACGTAGTGAAAGCTGTACAAACAGGGAAGTCAAATCAGAAATCTGTTTTTACTAAAGTAGAGAAAAATAAACTAAAATTTAACGAAAGGAAAGGTAAATAAAGATTAGACCAGAGATAAATGTACTATAATGAATATAAAATATAAAAGTCAATATAAAAGTGAAAACTATGAGTTAGTGTTTTGAAAAAAATTTACAAAACCTTGGCTAGAGTAAGAAAAAAAAAGATTTAGATAACTAAAAACATGAAAGAGGAGAGATTTCAACTGTTGTCACAGAAATGTTTTTTAAAACTGTAAGGGGTCCTGTGAACAATAATGCTTACAAATTATATAATCTAGAAGATACGGGTAAACTCATGAAACATACAACCTACTAAGCTCTTATCTTTAATAAAAAAATTGAAAAGAATTATAACTAGAGAGGTTCAAGCAGTAATCGGAAATCTCAAACAAGGAAAAAGCCAAAACCAGATCACTTCACTGCATAGTTCTACCAAAACCTTTACAGAAGAATTACCTCTAATCCTGAATTTAAAAAAATTTCCGAAGAGCTGTAGAGGGAACGCTGGCAAACTCATTCTATGGAGCCTGCATGATTCTATACCAAGCCCAGAGAAAGACACACGAAACACAGAAAACTACAAACCAATATCCTTCATGAATACTGAAAAATCCTCAACAAAATAGTACCAAACCAAATTCAACAACACATTAAAATGACTTTACATCATGACCAAGTGGACTTCATTACTATAAAAAAATCGATTAATGTGATACACCACATTAACAGAATAAAGGAAAAAACACATGATCATCTCAATTGATGCAGAAAAATGCATTTCACAAAATTCATCTATGTTTCAAGATATAAAAACTCTGGGAATTGACTGGCGGTCCAGTGGTTAGGACTCGGCACTTTCACTGCCGTGGCCCAGGTTCAGTCGCTGGTCAGGGAACTAAGATCCCACCACAAGCCCAAAAAGAAAAAAAGAGAGATGTAAACACTCAGCTAGAAAGCTTTCCTTCTCAGATCAGGAAGAAGGCAAGGATACACACTCTCTGCACTACTGTCCAGCAAAGTACAGAAAGCCCTCACCAGAGAAATTAGACAAGAAAAAAGAAAGTTACCCAAGTTGCGAAAAGTAAAATTATCTTATTTGTAGATGATAACTTTTGTATGTAAAAACAGTAAAGATTCCACAAGGAAACTGCTACATCAAAAAACAACTCTAGGGCTTCCCTGGTGGCACAGTGGTTGAGAATCCGCCTGCCAATGCAGGGAACAGGAGTTCGAGCCCTGGTCTGGGAAGATCCCACATGCCGCAGAGCAAGTAAGCCTGTGTGCCACAACTACTGAAGCCTGTGCGCCCTAGTGCCTATGCTCTGCAACAAGAGAAGCCACCACAATGAGAAGCCCGCGCACTGCAACAGAGTAGCCCCTGCTCGCCACAACTAGAGAAAGCCTGCGTGCAGCAACGAAGACTCGATGCAACCAAAAATAAATAAAATTTAAAAAAACCTCTAGAAAAGTTGCAGGATACCAAAAGTCCATGTGCAAAACATCACGAAATAATCAAGATGATGTAGTACTGGCATAAACAGGTATGTAAAGTAACGCAACAGAACAGAACACTCAAAATTAATTTTGCATATACATAGAACGCATTTTCAAGGGTGCCAAGACCACGCAATAGAAAAAGGACAGTCTCAGGAACAAACGGTGCTGGAGAACCGGGTATCTACCAGCAAAAGTGTAAAGCTGGAACCTTACCTGCATCAGAATGAGAAACTTCTGTGTGTCAGAGGAGGCAACCAACAGCGAAAAGTAACCTCCAAGGACCAGAGATGATGAAAATGGGCTAAGAATCTCCATGTGTCAGAGATTTAGGTTGATTTCAAAGTTTAAAATCAATAGTAGAATGAAACACCCTCTACCACTGATGTATCTCTGAACTTTCCATTCCATTCCCCATCATTACGATTTTTAAATCAGCGACACATCCATTTCGTTTCTAATGCAGCATGAAAAGTCACAACATATTTGCTGTAGTCTGTTTGCTAAAATTTACCGGGCATAAGTGCATATTATTACCTGACTTGCATGTACAGCTTCTTTATCCTGGTTTTCAGAGAGCAGACAGTGCATCCAGATGGGGGCCCTCAGTAATCCCTGCTGCCCAGTAGCACCGGCACCCCATCTCCAGTCCATGGGTGTGAAGCCCTGCCCAGGACTAGGCCCAGTGGAGCCTCTTCACAAGTCCCAGGTCATGGGGAGATGGGATCTAAGTGGAGGTGACAGGCCCTGAGGGAAGGACCCGGGTGACTGTGACTGTACAGGTGTCAGGCAGGACACTTCAGACGAGACCAGCGAGTCCAAAGAAGGGCATTTCTGGAAAGACAGAAAAATCAACTGAGAATATGACTTTACCTGAGAAAGAGCCATTCCAGACTCCTTTTCTCTCCTCTCCCTCCTCTTCTGGGCTTCTTCCTCAGACAAGAGTCTTTAGAGGTCGATCCTGAAAGTGGAAAACAGGCTGTTTAATGCTTGCAATCAACACACCCCCTTCCTGAGTCACCACCACACGCACAGGGAAGCCCTCAGCATGTGGAACAGACGGTCCTCTGCTGCCCACCGTCCCAGGAGGGACTCAGGACAGAAAACTCCACACAGAGACCTACAAGTAAGTTCCTACACTTTTGTTTTGTTCAGTGCATGACAAATCTTTGAAGATCAAATAGTGTAGCTTATCCCTTTTTTAACTGAAGTGTATATATATAGAATTTATTTATTTATTTATTTATGGCTGCATTGGGTCTTCGTTGCAGTGCATGGGCTTCTCATTGCAGTGGCTTCTCTTGTTGCGGAGCATGGGGGCTCTAGAGCGCAGGCTAAGTAGTTGTGGCGCACAGGCCTAGCTGCTGCGGAGCATGTGGGATCTTCCCAGACCAGGGCTCGAACCCGTGTCCCCTGCATTGGCAGGCAGATTCTTAACCACCTTTTCAGATTATTTTCCATTATAGGTTATTATAAGATACTGAATATAGTTCCCTGTGCTATACAGTAGATCCTTGTTTAATTATTCTATATGTAGTAGTGTATATTTGTAAATCCCAAACTCCTAATTTATCTCTCCCCTTCCTTCCACCTTTGGGAACCATAAGTTTGTTTTCAATGTCTGTGAGTCTAGTTCTGCTTTGTCAGTAAATTCATTTGTACCATTTTTTTAGATTCCACATATATGTGTCTACCTGTGTCTGATTTACTCCACTTAGTACTGTTACCAAAACGCAAGTCCGTGTGCTAGACGCACAGTGAGGCCAAACAATACCAGAATGTTGGAGTTTGGAACAGAAAGGCTTGCTGCAGGGCCATGCAAGGAGATGGGTGGCTCATGCCTTAAAAACCCCAAACTCCCTGAAAGCTTCCAGCAAAGCCCTCTTACAGGAACGGTGAGGGAGGGGTGTGGTTACAGACCTCTTGGTGGCAGATCCTTTGTACTTGAGGTCAGGTCGTGGTCAGGTAAAGATGTTCCTGTAAACCTCCACCAAACAAATGTTACTCTCTGTCCTGACAAGAAAGGGGAAGGTGCCAAGACACAACTTTCACCCTCCAGGGTCCAGGCCCGGCTAACAGAAAGGGGTCCCTGCAGAGGGGCCAGTTACCCTGCCCCAGAGCATTCGTCCAGAACCAGGTTTGGGTCCTCCTGACAGTGCCCAGGCCTGGCTGAAGAAGCAGATCTCAGTTGGCAGCTCCCTCAGGGCCAGGTCCCCGTGCAGACTGCCGCGGCCATTAGGGCAGCCTAATGGATTCCCGCAAAAGACACCCCGTTCCCTCGGCCTCCCAGCTCACCTGCTGGCCCAAGGAGAAGGGGAGGGGAGAAGGCCTGGATCCCTCTCTTACTTCACTCTCTGCCTGACGACTGCCACTCCGCGGACATTTGGCTGAATGGGTCCATTAAATGTCACTCATTGGCAGCTGGTCGCTTGAGGGAAGGGCTCACTGTGGCGCCGACCAATGGCTGAACGGGAGCTCTAAGGCCACTCCAACCATCCCTTCAGTGGTCTCCTGGTAACCGTTGCCTGGTAACGGGGGTGGGGGGAACAGCGTGCGCCAAGGGCCCTGTGCTAAGGGCTGCGCACTGCTGGGCTCTATTACAGTGTGATCATCTCCAGGTCTCCACCTGCACTACTCTGCGTTTCCATTTCATTCTGTTTATCGGTCTCCCTGTTGCTTTCTATGTTTCTGTCTTTTTGCTCCCTTCTAGCCTCCTGCTGTTTCTCCCGTCCTATTTTCTCACTCCTGTCCTGCCCCACTCTGCAACTTGTGCCCCCTATTGATGCTCTTTCTCCCCGACCTTTCTGATGACCCTACATCTCTGTATTTCTGCCTCTTTCTTCCCCCATCTCTTCTCTCTCTCTGTCCCTGTTATTCTCCCTCCCCACTCTCCGGCGCCCCCTGGTGGCTGTGCTTCCTTCCTGCTCTCTCTCTTCCCCTCATTTCTCCTCTTCTTTTCCTCTCCCAGCATCAAGTTGCTCTGTAGGACATGGGTTCAGCTCTTTTATCCCCTCCCCCGACTCTCCATGGGAAATGCCTCACCACGGTTGACGATGCTGTTACCACTGATCAAGGGCTCCTCTCGTATTTTGCCTTAATCCCTTCACCTTCATCTCCCTGGAGATCCCAATTTTCTATACACTCTATTTTTCTCATCTGCTACTTTCACTGCTTTTTCTCTTTCATTCTTACCATCTCTTTGCAAGACACTCACCCATCCTCTACACTGCCCTCTCTTTGCAAGACACTCACCCATCCTCTACACTGCCCTCTGACCTTGCCCACTCTTCTTTTCCCCTCAGTTTTCTATTGCTCTCTCAGTCCCTCTCTGTGTCTTCTGATCCCCCCTGCCCACACAGTCAGAGGATGTGGGATGGAGTAAGATGCCTGCTTCCCCCCTGCCCACACAGTCAGAGGATGTGGGATGGAGTAAGATGGAGTCAGATGCCTGCTTCCTGGGAAAACAGTGATGAAATAAAAACTCACAGTTTAAGGCAAGACAGGAAAAATTTGAATTTAAATTAAATTCCTTCTCCTTCATCAGTAATGACTCAGCACTCACCTTGTATATCTAGACATCTTCAGTGAACTTTATGTACCATAACAATATATCATTTACCTTAAAGATAACAATTGGTGCAGAACAGACTGTTCCACAGACCTGGGGAGGTACTGGGCCGCACCTAACAGAAGCTCTTTTAAGTACTTACTTATGACCGTATTAACGTTACTGTACTACTTGTGTTCTGCCTGTTTTACAGGATTGTTCCTTGCATTACCAAGTGTGTGACTGAGCCTCTGGTAAAAATGACTAGGCGACTTGAAACAAGTGACCAAATCTATAGTCTTATAAGACCAATGATTTTAATAGTGTAACTCTACACATGGGAAGAAGCAACAAGAGAGAACCAGCAACAAGAGAGAACCATTTCCTGGACCACAACAGACTGGTGGAACACCACGCAGAGGCCTTTGGCTACTGTTGCATTAGGGGCAGGGCGCGTGCGGGGCGTCGCCGGTGCAGTGTGGCAGTGGCCCTGTGGCCACAGTCTCCTCGGGCCGCAGTCCAGCTCCCATTTGCCCACTCGCCCCCTCTGCCGGCGCAGTCACCAAGCCTGCAACAACCAACCACGCAGCACCCCTCCTCTGTATAAAAGGAGCCCGAAATCTGACTGGGGGAAGATGGCTTGTGGAGACACTGGTCAGCCATCTTCTCCGAATAAAAAGTCGCTCTGCCTTGCCCCAGCAACTCGCCTCTCAGTTTACTGGCCTGTCGTGCAGCAAGCAGAACGACCTTGGACTCTATCAATTTTGGCGAAGCCGGCCAGGAGCCTTGCTGCTTGTGGTCAGCCCCGGTTGGGGAATTTTTGGGTAAAGCCCTAGCAGCTGCTGGGACCACCTGTCCTGAGGATCTTCCCTTTAAAATTCCCTGAAGCGGCACCAGATGCCCCAGCACTTGGCAGTGGGAGCTCCATACAGATGGAATCGACGGGCTCCAGACAGTAGGTGTGTCTGATGTGTACAACTGGGAATACACCACCCTCTCAATTTCGGCTTTTCCTGTAAGGGAACAGCCAAGTTGTTTTGCATTTGACTGGGGTACCCTGTTGCAGAGGGGAATTTTTGTTGCAACTCTGTGAACCAGTTTGTTTGCTTTTGTTTTGCATTCATTCACGATGGAATTTGTTTGTGCCTTTTGTGTTTTGTTGCTCTTGAACTTGTATCTGTCCCTAAGGAAAGCCCTTTGGGGCGTATCTTAAATGAATGGGCAAAGTATAGTTATGGGCCTGTGACTAAAAAGAGATGATATTCTATTGTATAGTGTGTGGCCCCAGTATATGTTAGGATCAGGAGAGCAAGGTGCCCTGCTCACTTATACAATCTTGCAGTTAGAATTGAGCAGGTAAAAATGGTGAGATTCCATATGTAGAAGCATGTACGCTATTGCATCATGAGGAAAAGAAGTGAGACAGCTGCTGCCTTATGGTACGGTGGTCTGAAAGGAAAACCGGGGGAAAATCTGTTCTACAAGAGGGAGAGGGAGAAAATGAGACTGAGAACATGTTATTTCAAAACACTGGCCAAGCAGGCTGCACCAGTGGTTGTTCCGACTGCCCCCATGCCACCAACATATGCACTCCTTTCACCACCTCCTGTTTCCCCTACTTATGGGGATCAATTAGAAGTTTCTGTGTTAACCTCTGGGGCACAGGGGCCTAGTTTGTGTCACCATCTGTGACCCAGGAGGGCGTCCCATTTGACCAGGAGCCACTTCTGGAGCACGCAGCTTCCCTTGCACTGATATCCTGGAGAGGAGGCCTTAATGCAGATGGCCAATCAGCTGGGTTTCTATGGACACGCCATCCATTCTCAATTTGATTTATTTAACTGGAAAAACCATAACCTACATACCTCCACGTGACTGAACTTTTCACTTCTATCTTTGCCACTCACCATCCCTCGTGGGCGGACATTCACACTTTTATGAATATCATGCTTACTGGGGATGAAAGGAGGATGCTCTTTGACAAGACTAGAGAGGAAGTGCACTAGCTCCATCTAGCGGACCAGGTGGAACTCCAGAAGCAAATCAGGCAGTTCCTACTGCTGAGCCTGACTGGGAACCTAATAACGGAGATATGCCGCACCTAGAGCATTACAGGAAGTGTATCTCAGCGGGTCTTCGAAAGGCAGTAGCTAGGCAAAAGAGCTTCAACAAAATTCAAGAGATCAAGAGATACACCAAAACCCAATGAGGACCCATCAGAGTTTCTAGAAAGAATTTATCAAGCTTATAGGCACTACACTGGTGCAGACCCTGAGGCCCCCAAAATACGGGAATGGTAAATATGACCTTCATTGGGCAAAGCGCCCCAGATCTAAGAAGAAAATTACAAAGCTAGATGGTGCATTTGGAATGAACCCTTCTCAACTGGTAGATGTTG